AAAATTCCATCAAGTTTTTATATCGAAGCTGTTCCAGACTTTTCTATGGAATCGGCTTTAGGTTTCTGATGGAAGCAGATTTTGTCTTCCAGTTATGAATGTTTTTAAAATCCAATTCAGGGAAACATCTGTCAGAGCCAGTGTGCCCCTCAGACTTGAAGGATGTCTGCCTCAGTCTGAGACACTCTGTGGTAGAGCAGTTGAATGATGACAGTGAAGTGAAAGAGCAAAGAAAACCTGAAAATGAAAGATAATGTGACGACGGGTACCCTTTTACACCCCGTCGTACGCGTGAAGCTCTCGGTAAGCATGATGAGTTAATTGAATTTTCTTCTCCCTCATCTGATAAAGGAAGTACTGAAAGATCCCAACAATGAACATTGAGAAAGCCAGAGGCACGGCCGCCATCCTTGCCCACACCCACAGGCTGTACGAGAACGAGCACATCATCAGGAACGAAACGAGCAAATGTCTTGTCACATCTAAGACCGGGGTGTGCCGAGGGGGGTGACTACCTACGGTGCGGAGGTGCTCGCTGCTGGAAGCGAAAGGGGGAGAGGGGAGGGGAGTACTGAATCCGCAGTGGAGGATCTCTCTGGTAAGGATCGTCAGAGAGGTGGCGGGTCTTTATGAGCGGGAGCTCCCCGGAATCCCGGATGACGACCGGTTTGAGGGGCCGGTCATTGCTGTCGGTCTTCAAATTCTCGACCATGCGCACCACCTCCATTCCCTCCACGACCTGCGAGAGAGATCCCTCGTAGTCATCGGTGCTCCATCGGTTTCCCCGCATTCGTTGTTCTCACCTTTCCGAAGACGACGTGACGGCCGTCGAGCCAGGGGGTCGCCGCTGTCGTAATGATGAACTGGCTGCCGTTGGGAGTTCTGCCCTGAAGGAGACGCACGACCGGTGTTGAGACGGTTTTCCAGATTAACTGGCTCCCAAAAGCCCATTCCCGCTTTTCTAGATTTATACATTATTCGGAAGTGGTTTTCTCCTCGGCAGGAGGTAACGAGTTTCTCGGTCGAATCGGTTTCGATCGAATTTCACATTTCCAGATCGCTGGCTGCTTCCATTTCACGCGGCCTCAAATTCGAGACTTCCGTGAAAAATTCCATTGTGATTCACGGAAATAAATAAAAAATACTTCTGTGGTCCGAATAAGGCTTTTAGCTACATATAATAGCATAGCTAATGCATATACTTCCCACTTCCAAAATGATTCGGGCAGGCTGATTTTCTCTTCAACTCTTTTTATTTTTTATTTCACTAATAACTGGACAGTAGTAATCAAAGAACCTCAACATGGTCGACAACTTCGACATGTGGGCTAACTACAGACCAAAGCAAATCGCGATGTTACATACAGATAAAAATGTATTAACTCTCAAAATAACGTCACCCGTTCTGATCCACTGAGCAACGACGCGCGAACTGCGCATGAAATTACTTAATCAACTAATTAACCCCCCCCCCCCCCCCCCCCCACACCGAGCGCACGGGGAGAGCCGGAGCAGCCGCACACCTTCGCGCTCGCACGATCGAACCCGCACTGACCTCCCGGCCGCTCGACCCACTCGGCCTTGAGGGGACGCTGGAGTGCATGGACCGTCCGCGAAGCTGGAGTCCTCCTTCTTTCCCTCCTTTGCGTCCTCCTTCTTTCCCACCTCCTCCTTCTTCTTTTCCTCCTCCTCTTCCTTCTTTCCCTCCTCCTCTTCATCCGCCTCCTTTCCCTATTGGCCACACGTCTCTCAGGCATTCCTCGTTAGGGATTGCTTTGCCTTCGCGGGGATGTCTGCAGGAATGCGTTCACCGTCGAACCCCATTTTGACTCTGAAAGGGCCAACATCCCTCCGTCGTTTCTCGACGGAGTCGCATGGATTCGCTGGGATTCAGGAATCCCAACTTTTTCGGGCGAAGCAGCGTCGAGTCTCTTTTTCTTCGACAGTTCCTGTTAGATTCATATTGGCGCTTCGAATTTTTTTTTTCCCTAATGAATGAGCATTAATCTGGTATTTTCAAGCATTCTTTGTGAAGAAACCGCTTGGATTTGGACCTCCGCATCTGAAAGGTCAGGGCACAAAACACGTGATACGTTTACCATTGAAAACAATTTGGGGATATTTTTCCTATTAGACACTGCACCACGCAAGGCCTGCTAATGGTAGCGTGCACTTCACCTTCCCGTCCCGTCCAGGAAAGACACGCTATGGAACAGAGGGGGGGGGGGGGGGGGGGGGGGGA